CCCCCCTTTTAGGTTATGGTTATGTTGTAAAATATTTTGAATCCTTTTGCTAATTCTGTATCTTAAGAAGCCATTACATTGGGAGCATGTACACTTGGAAGGGACCTTGGTAAAGCTGAAACTTTTTCAGTGGTCTCACCAGTTTCTGCCTGCTTATCTAGGGAGATGGGTAATAGCAGAAAAAGGTTGGTGGGTTTTGGACAAGATCTTCATTGAGTACGTTGACAGACTTTTCATGTGTCTTTGTTGTACATCTTGAAAACAGAAAATGATGGTATGAAATAGGTTTTGACTGTGCATGTTGCTTCTTTCTTGGTACATGTAAAATTTTAGTATCAAAAGGAAGGTTTAGAAGCATTAAAGTATTTTCAAAATGCCACTTTGCAGTGCTGTATCAAAATAACTCACTTAATGAAGAATCCTGTCATGTGCTTTTAGCTGTTTTGCATTATTCACACTGTAAAACTTTGTTTCAGATTCGTGATTCCAACTGTAACTATGAGGCCTTTATGAATATTATTAAACTAAGTGATAATATAGGAGAGTTGGAAGCAGTGAAAGATAAAGCAAGTGAAGAACTGCAGTATCTTCGATCTCTAGATACAGCGGGAGATGGTTAGTGCTGTTTTGTTTTACAAAATATCACATACATTTACCAGCATGATCTCTGAAGAATATTCCAAAAATTTAGAAAATAGAAACTGATGCAGCATAGTATAAGATATTTTTATTTAAAAGATAGATAAATTATATGTGAAGTGTTAAAACTTGAATCTTCATAAGTGTTTGTTTTTTTTTGGGTTTTGTGTTGGTTTTTTTTTTTTTAAATATAGACCAATTGGTTAGGTGTGTATACTTTCATTGATTTTAAACTTACCTGACTGGTGGTTCTGAATTTCAGTAATATTAGGTATTAATGGGTAGATGGTTAACAGTTAATCTGAAAAAGGAAAGAGAAAAATATTTCTTCTTCTTCACTTCTATCAATAAGGTATTTAAACTCAAAAAAAGCCCTTCTCTTCAAAGCTGATGTGTTTTGTATGTGATGTCACTTTTTGTGTGATATTTTTAGAGCATTTCAGAACAAGAGTTAATTTACTCATCTGCATTGCTTAATTCTCTTTGTTTTTGATTTCAGATATCAACACTATAAAAAATCAAATAAACAGTTTATTATATGTTATTAAAGTATGTGATTCGAGAATTCAGAGGTTGCAGTCAGGAAAAGTAAGTGGTTTAGATTATTTTTATTTTTTTTTAGTTCTGAAAGCATGAAGTTGCAAATGACTGACTAGTTTGGTCTAGCTTTTTAAATCTTGTGCTTTGAAACATGACTTGAATTATGCAATTATAGGAATACATTATACAACTGAAATAAGTCTTGTATTTGCAGTTCAAGTACAGAATTCACATATTTAGAGGTTTTTGAATTCTGGCTTTAGCAGTTTAGATAGGTCATCTTAAAACTATTCTTACTGTCTCAATACAACAGTTAAAACAAAATGTTACATAGATACAAAGCATCTTTGTGTTTAAACACTTAGATTCAGTTCTTTTTTACTGCTCCAGTGCATACCTTGTATGCCTTAAGCCTAGTCTTTGGCAAAGATCTCTCTTCTTGCTGATAAAGGTACCAGTTGCTGATTATTTTGCAACACCTTGTAGACTCCATGTATTGCCTTTTGTTAGACATATTTACCTTTTTAGTTCAACGAAAAGGCTAAGACTAACTAGATGTTAAATTTTAGAACCTCATGTTGTCCTGTTTGCTTGTTTTGTTTTATATTTTGTGGTTGGCAGAGTCAGTATGTTTAACTTTGCTTAGTTTCTGACTGTCTTAATTAGACCTAGATGCGGCTCCAAGATAATGTCATCTTGTATGTATTAATGTACATATTAAAATGATGAAGTATTCTACAGCTGGACCCAGAAGCATTACTGTAATACCAAGAAATGTAATATTGACAAGAGCAAGTTGGATAGAGATGAATTTAAGTTGTGGTGACCTGCACCCCATCAAATGCTGAAATTAGTTTATCTTGTTAATTCATTTTCATGCTACTGTCAGTGAGGGATTTGAGGTTAATTTGACCTGTATAGTGTTACATGAAGTGCAGTGTTAAAAGCCAGCTTCCCATATAGCAGAAATCATCCATATTAAAGGCAAATAGTTACGAGAACATGACCTTATGATCTAGATCTTCACTTATTAAGAAAATAACTAACCGTTGAGAGGTGACTTTGTTATCTGTAATTACATAAATGATTTCTTATTACACCTGCTTTGTGGTAAGTAGAAGTTTTAAAAGCTAATTTTAAAAAAATAAAGCCTATGAGCACACTGAACTTTGTCTTACAGGAAATAGATACTGTGAAACTGGCAGCAAACTTTGGAAAACTTTGCACAGTCCCTCTGGACCATATTCTGGTAGACAATGTTGCACTACAATTTTTTATGGGTAAGTGTTAATTTATCTGAGTTTTTTTATTTATAAAGAATATGCCAACTCACAGGACTGTACACTTGAAATTGCTAAATATAGGTGTCTACTGAGAGCTAAATGTGTATAAGCCCCTTGCCAGAGGGAAGCAAAACCATTTTTGCAAATCAGTATGTAATTAACTGTTGAGAACACCATACTCAGTACTTCCAAAAGCTTGTATCAAGCTTGTTTCAATACTGATCTCTCTGTAAGACTGTTCTTACAATGTTTCTTTGTTTGTTGCTTCACAAGTTTGTTCGGTTTAGAGCAGAATAATTGCAAGAATTGCTTAGAGGTTTGTAATTGGAATGACTCTGAAACTTGCTGCAATCATAGGTCTTACTTTTGCTGGTCTCACTGAAGCTAATGGAACTAATGTCTATAGATGTTAGACTGAATTTCAGAGGATTACAAGGCTACTGAAGGTTGTCTATTGGAGAAGCTAAAATACAACAGTAATTTATGTATTACTTTACGTTTATCATAGATTCTCTTCTGTAAATTAATTGGGCTGCTGATGTCATTACTGAGAGTATCCGTCAATTTTGTTGTTGGTGGTAGTCCTTTTAATGCAGTAGATGGAGATACAATACAGCAGAGAGAAAACAGTCCAGGAGGTTCCTGGAGTGTGTGGAAGAGAACTTCTGACTCTGTTGGTGAGGGAGCCAACTAGAGAAGGCTTCCCACTGGACCTGATCTTGCGAACAGAGAAGGACCTGTGAGTGATGTGATGGTTGGAGACTGGCTTGGGCATAGTGGTCATGAATCGATAGAGTTTTGGATACCTGGAGAAGTAAGGAGGGGGTCAGCAGAACTACCACCTTGGACTTCCACAAGGTGGACTTTGGCTTGTTCAGGAGCCTGGTTGATAGATTCCCTCAGGAAGCAGTCCTTAAGGGGAAAGTGGTCCAGGAAGAGTGGACATTCTTCAAGAAGGAACTCTTAAAAGTGCAGAAGCAGGCCATCCCCGTGTGCCAAAAGATGAGCCAGCGGGGAAGAAGACTGACCTAGCTGAACAGAGGGGTTTGGCTGGAACTCAGGAAAAACAAGAGAGATTTTATGACCCTTGGAAGAAGGGACAGACCACTCAGGAGGACTACAAGGATGTCATGAGTTTATGCAGGGAGAAAATTAGAAGGGCCAAAGCCCAACTAGAACTTGATCTGGCTACTGCCGTAAAAGACAATAAAAAATGTTTCTATAAATCCATTAGAAACAATAGGAGGGCCAAGGAGAATCTCCATCGTTTATTACATGCGAGGGGAAACAGAGTGACAAAGGATGAGGAAAAGGCTCAGGTACTTAATGCCTTCTTTGCCTCAGTCTTTAATGGTAAGGCCAATTGTTCTCAGGGTACCCAACCTCCTGAGGTGGAAGACAGAGATGGGGAGCAGAATGAAACCTCCATAATCTCAGGGGAAATGGTTAGTGACCAGCTACACCACTTAGACACATGGGGCTGGATGGAATCCACCCAATCAATGGTACTGAGGGAACTGATGAAAGTGCTTAAGCTACTTTTCATCATTTATCAGCAGTCCTGGCTAACCAGGGAGGTCCCAGTTGACTGGAGGTTAGCAAATGTGACACCAATCTACAAGAAAGGCTGGAAGAAGGATTTTGGGAACTACAAGCCTCACTGCCATGGAAGCTTGTGGAGCAGATCATCTTGAGCACCATCACACGGCATGTACGGGACAACCAGACAATGAGGCACAGTCAGCACGGGTTTATGAAAGGCAGGTCCTGCTTGACTGACCTGATCTCCGTCTGTGACAAGGTGACCCACTTAGAGAACATCCACAGCCTTTCCCTCATCCACTACCTAGACTTCAGTAAGGCCTTTGACACCATTTCCCACAGCATTCTGGAGAATGTCGCTGCTCATGGCTTGGACAGGTGTACACTTTGCTGGGTAAAAAACTGGTGGACCCAAAGAAAGGTGGTGAATGGAGTTAAATCCAGTTGGCAGCCAGTCACAAGTGGTGTTCCCCAGGACTCAGTATTGGGTCCAGTTCTGTTTGATATCTTTATCGATGACCTGGACAAGGGGATCAAGTGCACCCTCAAGTAAATTTTCAGATGACACCAAGTTAGGCGGCAGTGTTGATCTGCTTGGGGGTAGGAATGCTCCACAGAGGGATCTGGACAGGCTGGATTGATGGGCTGAAGCCAACTGTATGAGGTTCAACAAGGCTCCGTGTCAGGTCCTGCCCTTGGGTCAGAACAACCCCATGCAACGCTACAGGCTTGGGGAAGAGTGGCTGGAAGGTTGCCCAGCAGAAAAGGACCTTGGGGTGTTGGTCAACAGCCAGCTGAACATGAGCCAGCAGTATGTACAGGTGGCCAAGATGGCCAAGAGCGTCCTGACTTGTATCAGAAAGTGTGGCCAGCAGGACTAGGGAAGTGATCATCCCCGTGTACTCAGCACTGGTGAGGCCGCACCTCGAGTACTGTGTGCAGTTCTGGGCCCCTCACTACGAGAAAGACCTTGAGGTGCTGGAGCATGTCCAGAGAAGGGCAACGAAGCTGGTGAAGGGTCTGAAGCACAAGTCTGATGGGGAGCGGCTGAGGGAGCTTGAGTTGTTTAGCCTGGGGAAAAGGAGGCTGAGGGGAGACCTGATCGCTCTCTACAACTACCTGAAAGGAGGTTGTAGTGAGGTGGGGGTTGGTCTCTTCTCCCAAGTAACCATTGATAGGACAAGAGGAAATGGCATCAAGTTGCACCGGGGCAGGTTTAGATTGGATATGAGGAACAATTTCTTCACTGAAAGGGTTGTCAGGCATTGGAACAGGCTACCCAGGGAAGTGGTAGAGTCACCATCCCTGGAGGTATTTAAAAGGCATGTAGATGTGGTGCTTAGGGACATGATTTAGTGATGGACTTGGCAGTGCAAGGTTAACGGTTGGACTCGATCTTAAAGATTTTTGCCAACCTAAATGATTCTATGATTCTATGCATGTGATTTGTTAGAATTCCGGTTTGAACTTCCTCTCAATTTGTGTCATGCTGTACAAGCCTGTTACATCCACACAGTAATGGCGGTTTCACTTTTTACGTGTGAGTTTTAGGATTCAGTGCTTAGTTCCTAGACTTTGCTCCCAATTTTGTTTACTGATTATCACCAATATGCACATAATAGTTTTTATTTTTTGACTCTAGATGACAACTATTCTAGATGTAAAAGCAGATCCTTGAGTTCCATGTGTAATTAACATCATAGAGAATTCTTATTTTAAGATGCACAAGGATAACTATGGTTATGTGGTGGCTCTTTTCTGTAGATTACATGCAGCAGACTGGTGGCCAAGCACATCTGTTTTTCTGGATGACAGTGGAAGGGTACAGGGTTACAGCACAGCAACAGCTGGAGGTACTTCAAAGCCGGCAGAAAGATGGAAAGCATCAGACTAATCAAACCAAGGGTCTATTAAGAGCAGCTGCATTTGGAGTTTATGAGCAATATTTATCAGAAAAGGTAGGAATAACTTATTTTTGTATTATTTGGACCTTATTCTTTGTACAGATGCTTCTTTGGCAGTTATGGCTATGTTAATATGAAATGGATGTGATGTGGCACAAGTTGTTTACAAGTTGACATTTAAGCTATTACTTGCGTAGCTTCTCTGTCATGTGAAGCAGTAAGAAAATGTCTTCCTCTTTTTTTTTTTTTTTTTTTTGTCCCCTCTCCATTTAAGAAGGCTCATACTGGCACTGACTGTCTTGTCAAATGCACTGAATGTGTTTCCTCAGAAGCTGACTTTCTAGAATAGAAAAAAAACTAGAGGAAATGTGAAGACAGAATAAGAAATTTGGTCCCTTTGTGTATGCTGTCCTTTCTACTTTCCCTTCCTTTTACTCTACCCTCCACCACAGCTCCCCCTTGAGAGATGTTTTTTTAAAAAATACAACCCAGTATTTGTACAAACTTGGATTAAGGTTGCATTTGTGAAATGCAATAACTTCCTGTGCCTCTCTACAATTGTCTATGTAAATTGCTCAAATATCACCATTGGGTATCTTTCAATAGGCTAAACTTGAACGCCTACAGTAGTCTTGTAATAACAAAGTCTTCTGTGAAATGAAACATTTGTCAATGTGTATTAACAAAGCATCTTTGTTCTGAGTTTGTGTATACTTAAAAATCATCTCTCAACTCACTCAAAAACTTCCCTCAACAAATTATCCCCTCAAATATCTTTTAATGCTTTTCTTTCCACATTATTTCTTTCACTTTGATTTTTCACCTCAATAGTCCCTCAACATGGTGGACTGTACAGAACTTGCTCTGATGGGTTTTTCAGGTGACTGACTGCTCATCAGTTTGAAGTCAGAAGCCATCTAACCCTAGATTATTCAAAAGCCAAAAAACGCAGCCTCTCAGCTGTGCTATCAAGTGAGCCATGTTGGGTCTGGTTCAGTGCTGACTCCCTGTCTCTGTTAGAGAAAATGGGGCAAATGTGTGAACTTGGGCCCATCTAAAAAAATGCTTGACGGGCAGTGGTTTGAAACATGTCATACCAAGGAATGACTGGGAACCTGATGGCTGGTATAGTTAGTATGCTGGTAGCTGTAATAGAGTCTGCATAAAAAGCTAGCATGATTACAACTACTGGTAATCTCTTCAGAAATTGGCAGAGTTGACAAACTCTTAGCCTTTATTCAAAGGATTGAGAACTTCATCCATTTACTTTCTTACTGAGTGGTTCTTCATTTCTGAATCTAGATCTTTCTATTCATAAATAAAATCTGGTTTTAAGTCTGTGTAAATTGGTTTAGATATTGCTTGAAAATAATGTGCATAAATTGTTTTTGAGGTGATTCTTAGTTGTTAATCCTGAAACTTCTGAGTTTTAATGCAAACTCTGAAGTTAGTTTTCTGGAGAGGAGGGGGTCTGACTCCTGTTGTGTGTTCTAGACAGTTCTAGAGATACTCGTCAAGAAGAAATTTAGTTTACTTAGAGAATTGCAGAATTGTACTGGATTTGTGAAAGTAGAAGCTTTCTTGTTTTTATGCTGTGAAAGTTAATTTGGATCTCTGATAGGCATCTCCAAGAGTTAATATTGATGACAACTTGGTAGCAAAACTGGCAGAAACTCTGAACCATGAGGATCCAACACCTGAAATCTTTGATGACATTCAGAGAAAGGTATACCCTGTTCATTCTGTATTGCATAAGAACTGTTAATACTATATAGTATTAAACATCACTGCAAGCATTGAAAAAGGAGAAGGAACTTGGGTATCTGAAACTTAAAACCTGTTTTACCATTTTCCTATTCTGTAAAAATCATACTCTAAATTGCCAACTTCTGCTTAGCCGTATGTAGCTGATAGTTTTCAAAGCAATAGAACAGTAGGTATTCTGTATGAAATTAATTATGAAGCACAGTTTAGAATTATGGGATTATTACTTGTGTTTATACATCAATTTAAGAAAAGTGCCTGTGTGTAATAATGAAGTGGTACAATTTTGGTCCAGTTTTAGCTCTCTTTTTCAAAGGTGGATGTGAGCATGTTATAATATTAAACTCTATATCTCTTTCTAGAAGTTAATTTGACTGTTCTGTTTCTGCAAGCTTGCACAGTACTCCGCAGCACTCAGAAACAGCAAGTGCTGAAGCAATTACGACCTGTACGCTTAGACTTTATCACTTAAGTCTAATATATATATTTTAAAAAAGTGAATGATTAATATTCTGGCAGTGAATTTTATACCTACTCTGAGAAGTTTTTATTTTAGCTCGTTAACTTAATGTTCTCATTCATGCTAAAAATTAGTGATATGAACTGTAGAACTTAGGATCACTCTTGTATTGTAGGCCCACATTTAAGGCTAATGAAAACACCTTGTGAAATCTGCATTGCTCAAAGTAGGTTACGAGGTCCTTCTCTGTGATTTCTACTGAAGAGCATAAATTTCTCATGTGTTACAAAAAAAATTACTTCCTCAGACCTGCATGAAATTTTCTTCTATTCTTACTGGGTGATAGCACTTGTACCAAGTGTTGCATGAAAAAAAATCATTAAAATATTCTGGAGTTGGCATGAATATCCAAACATTATGAATTAATTCCCACTACATATAGATACATGTGTGTATATGTATATAAGCTGTCACTGTACAGGCTCTGTAGATAACTTTTTGAGGTGGTGTGGTTAAATCTGTGGGTGGTAGGGTTATACTGTATTGGCTGAACTGGAAATTTTCAGGGAAGTCGTATGCAGTGTCTTCCCTCCCTTCCTTTTCCTCTTCTCACCTCTCTCCCGAAGTGTTTGCAGGGTTATGTTTGTAGTTTATCAACGAAGAAGGACTCTGAGAGATAACCTGTTGTAAAATGGGTAAAGACCAAATATGTTTATAGTGAAATTGGAAGGGTTAAGAGGAGAGGAGGGAAACATTTACAGTTAATATGCTACTTCCCTTCCTATACATGTGTGTTAGATATTTTCTGTGTTATACTTCTAGCACAGTTAGTTCTCATGACCTTTCCGTTAAGTAAGCCTGAATTGAAGTATCAAACTCACGTTAGGGTTTTAAAGGAAACCCAGGGACACATAATAGAAGTCACAGATATGTGTTGGTCAAGTAGAATTTGTGAAAGCCTGTCTGATTAATTAAAAAATGTGAAAAGGATTTCTAAGGTTGGCACTTCTATTTCAATAAGGTGTATGAATTGATGCTGCGAGATGAAAGATTCTACCCTTCGTTCAAACAGAATGTGTTGTATGTGCGCATGTTGGCTGAGCTGGATATGCTGAAGGATCCTAGTTTCAGAGGATCAGATGATGGTGAAGGAGGTGAGCTCTGTATCTGTAAGGGGGATTTCCTGGGACCATTCTTTTTTCTGCTTCAAAATGGAAATAAGAAAATTATCCACACTGTTCTTGAGAAATCAAAAAGTTCCAGTAGTATCTTTGATTTTCAAATTAATGTTTCCTCCTTGTGCTTTTTTTTGGAAATTGTTTTAGGAGAAAAATAGTCAAACTTTATTAATCTCATGTAAATTTTTTGTCAAGTCTGGGTAACAAGTGTGTTGCTAAAATAAAAATGCGTCTCATTCTCATTTGTTATTAAAATATTTGAGGTTCTTCAATGTATTGAGTTGTTTTAATACTTAACTGTATTCATCTGGAAATAGAAATTGAAAGTACATAGGAGATGTGGCTTTTTAAAGCAATTAAAATCATTCTTCTCATTAACTGAAGTACAAATCTAATGGAAATTGTTTAGCTATTAAACTGACTCCTTATTGAGGCAATTTCATGTGGTGATATGGGCTTAAAAAGGAATGTTCTCTGGAGTATTTATTTTGTACCTATAGCTGTATAAACTTACTTACATTTCTCTTTAGGTGTCTTTATTGGAAACTTGAAGTACTTATTTGTTGGGTGCAACATTTTGCCCAATGCTACAGTTGTCCATTATTTTCCATAATGTTTTGTCTTTGCATTTTTCTTTCTTGTGTGTGGCCTTACATTGGAGAAAATTATCTAACCTGTTTTATCCTTTCCTCTTCCTCATTGCTCCCAGAATCTTTTAATGGGTCTCCTACTGGCAGCATAAATCTGGTAAGTGCTTGGATTATTTTTTTAATTATTTTTTTCTCCCTAGCAGTATGGAAAGTGTTTTAAAATAGTTTAAATCTCATATGTTGGAGGTTTTCCTTCACTGCAGTTTAATTTCTGAGAAAGTTCTTGAATCAAATTGAAACACACGTTAAGGTATCAATTAATCTGTAAGATAAAACTGTCCCTTTTGTACTTTCCCCTGTGTTTAATGAAATTTTTCATTGTTTCTTACAGAAACAGTAATAATCTATAGTTAATTTATGCAAAGCATACTTTCTTATCCCTGTTTGTTTTTTTTAAATAGACATAAATTTGGAGTTAGATAATAACTGGTAAAAACAAATCCTTTGAACTGAAATCTTGAAGGATTAAATTCAGACAGACTTACTGTAAAATGAGGCTGTAAAATGTAGATTGTCCTAGGTTGATTGTTGTTTGGTTTTTTTGACTTAAGGCTTCATTTGGAAACATAAGGCTCAAGTTTATTCAGAATATGAATCTTTGTTTTCTATACTGAACAATTTCAAGTTCAATTTTTGATATTATTTTTTTAAGCAATTATTGATTGGGTCAGTTTGTCAGAAGTGTTTCTTTGTTACATGAATGTACCTAAATATTTGAAATATGCTTCTGCATGTAGTAGTGGTTGTGTGAGTATGAAGAGAACTGTATAATTCTACCAGACTTTTTCCAAATAACCTGTCCCACATAGATCTTACTAGGTTTAAAATGTTTTAAACTGAAAATTGTATTGCAGGCTTTTTTAAAAAGGAAAAATCATAAAAATTTTGACGTATTTCCTCCCCTCCCTCTTACTTGTTTTTAAAATGAAAATTGTATTGCACATTTTAAAAAACTTGTTTCTTTAGACTATATGTAGCTGAGCCACAAGTTACGCAAGGTTCAGTTGGGCATTATGAAAGTATTTTTCCAAATCTTTCAGTTTTAGAAAGGTTTGCAATCTGCATGCAATTTCCTGGCTTATGTGATTCATAGACCCTTCTAATTCATTCTTGGAAGATGCTGTAGCTCTTTAGGAGTTCCAGTGCATTGGTTAGATCATACTTGCATGCAGAGGAAGAGAGTTTATTTTGTAAAGGAATACATTTAACATAAATGTAAACGTGTTTCCTGTGGGGGTGGGTTGTTTGTTTATGGGGGGTTTTGGTTTTTGTTTGTTTTTCTCTTTTTTTTTTTCTTCTAGTTTTTGTTGGAGTTTTTTGTTTTGTTTTTTAAGCTGGGATTTTTTTCCTGTTTTCCTCTTGTTTACATTTTGAAATACAAACAAAAGGGGAGGAGGTCAGTCAATACAATTTACACAAACTCCTGTTAGATACAGAAGGAAAACTTAATTTAACCACATTTTTTATAAATTTACATACAATTCTGGTAACGTTTCACGTTTCAATTCTTTTAATTGACTAATCTGCTAAGACATGTGAAAGATCTTTTTAAGTACTTTTTCTAAGAACGTTCTTACATATCAAAGCCATATTTTATGCATGGGGCTTTGTCACTGCAGTGGCTATTTGGCTAGTAGTTATCTGCTGCTTAGTTTCATGTGGCCTTTCCAAACTGAGATAGAAAGTCTTAAAGCCTTTATCAAGCACTGTTGCAATACAAATAGATATTTGCATGGGACACTTCAAAGTCTTGATCTTTTTGTTTTTGTTGTGAAAAGGGTATTTGCAGAAGGCTACATTTATTATATTTGTAAAGAGTAAAAGGTGTAATAAAGCTCTATTTATGCAGAAGAACTTTTGCTTTCTGTAGTCTCTATTGTTCAGGGTTTTCAGTGCTTTTACAGGTGTCTGATTGCTGGTAGATCAGTTTTTCCTGACTGAATTCCATGTCAGGAGTAAATTTCTGTACACAGAGTTTAGCTCCCTTAGTCAGTTACATGAAGAAAAATAGACCTTGGAAAGGTTACTTCAAAGGTCAGGGAGTTTCTGCACCTTTAGCTAATGACAATGTATTAAATAAGATTGGGTTGTGGTGCGGTATTTTTGCTTTTTAATTAGCTTGTATTCCTGTGAACATACCTAATGTCAAAGATACTAGGTCACATTGAATACAAACTGCCTGCTGTGTTATTTGTTCAAGTTTCAACATATCATTTACTCGTATTCATTGTTGCTGTATAGTGCCTTGCCACAGCAGTTGAGTGTTTGCTAAAGTTTCTGTTATAAAATACATTCCCTGCAGTTTATACTTTCGCTGTAAGAAACTATTTTAAGATTATTTGGAAGAGAGGCTCAAAACTATCTTGAGGAAAAGTTGTTTTACAAAAATATTTTCTTAATTTCTACCTTTGAATTTGACACATTAATCTACTGTATTAAACAGTAGGGTATATTTTGAGGGTATAAAACCATTGTAAATATTTACAGATTCTTACAGATTTCATCTAAGTGGATCCATAATGTGAGCTTTACATATTGCTTTTGTGTTGAGTAAATAGAAGGAGTTACACAGGTGTTATGTATCCAAGGCCTTGAATGGCAACAGAATTGACTGAACTGTCATTAGTGTATATATCAACTTGAACCCCATCATTTATCAAGAAGAAAACTGAGCTGTCAGATTGGCAATGGAGGCAGGAAAACAAGAAATAATGATGCTTTTTAAAAAATACAACACTACCTTAATGTCAGTATTTCACAGCAAACAAAATATTAGAGTGACTGACTGTTACTTGTCGTCTTTAATAACATCCTTTCCATCTTACTCATAATCAAATCCTAGAGCTCTCAGAATATCAAGCACTTATCCAAGCTTCCACCATTGCCTGCCGTTCATCCGTCTCAGGTGATACTCTGCTCCTAAATTTGGACAGTGCAATATAGAGCACACCTTACAGGGTTATTGCTGTCCAAGGGTGACTTGCTTAAGAGTGGACTAGGCCAGAGGAAGTCTAACCCTATGTCCAACAATGACCAAAAGCAAGTGTCTAATGAAGATCATAGGAATGGTCCACTTATGGTGATGCTTTACCAGCATCCAGTAACTTACAGATTTGGGAATTCTTGAGATAAAGATGATATCTGCTCTCAAAATATTTTTGCATGAATTCATCTGTTGTATCATTGAACAGACATAAACTTTTAGCACTATAACGTGCAGTGGCAAAACAGTTTTCCCAAATGGGCTCTTCATTCTTCTACCTCTCTTCAATCTAGGACTTTTGTACTGTAAGTCTACAAGCTGCATCGTAAGATATGTAGGAGACTCCTTACTGCAATACATGTTAAAACATATTTAGTGTGTTCAGACCTTTTTAACGATGCCATTTATTCAGTATCTAGACTCTATAACAAGAACGTTATTTCCCTTGCCTTTTATAGTGGGTTTTTAAGCAGACACTGATGGAGGTGGCCGAGGCAGAGAAGAGCTGTTCCCTCTAGAGAGCTTGGGAAGGAAGGACTGGAGTATTATGTTGGGGTATCTTGGAGACGATAAAGATTCAGATGAAGAAGGGGCAAGAGCAGAGTCTTTAAATAATTTATGTTTTCAAATCCAACCTATCTTTTGATTGTAATCATGTAAGATTGGTTTAAGCTTAAGGAAACAGGGGAGTTTAGAAACTTGATTAATTTATATTGACGTCTTAGTTTGACACAGGTATGGCACTGCTACCCAGTAAGTCCCATTCTAAGTAACTTTTTGTGGCCAACTCACTATTAAACTGTCTTGGTTAAATTCTAGAAGATAACTGATAGCCATATATTCATTTCTAATGTGTATCTTTGAAGAATTTTGGGGTAAAATCTATAAAGTAGCTGGGATCACAGTCTCTATGAATTCTACTTCAGTAGATCTGTCTTTGTTTTTTAACCTGGTAGTTTAAGATTAGGATTATATGTGTAGTGGCCCGTCCTTTGTTTCTTTCAGTTGCATATTGAAGTTTTTTCACCCAGCAATCTTGCAGGATTTTATGTTAAATCTTAGTAGTCAGATGTATTAATTTTATGTAATAGCAAAGCTTCTGTAAAAGACCCGTTAGGCTTCTTTTGATCTCAATAATTACTAAATAGAGAGACAGAGTGTTAGCCATCTGAGGATGTGTCTGTTCATTTTTTATGAGGGAAAACATTTCTGAGAAAAGCATTTGTTGGTTTTTACATACAGGAGAGAAATTATTCAAGTTCTACTGTACTGTAGCTTTTGTGTAGTGCTTTAAGTCAGTTGAAAGAAAACAGAATGGTATAAAGATAAACCCAAAAGCCCTGTTATACAACATCTGTATCTCCACAGTTGTTTGGGTTTGGTTTTTGTTTGTTTTTTTTCTTGCTGTTTTAATGCTCAGTAAAAGACTATTTGTAGCTGTACTTCTATTAGAGTTGAGATACCAAATGAAAGTGGCAAATATGTTAAAGTGATCACAAAACTATGTGAAACTGGTAGGGGAAATGAAGGGCCCTGCACTCTGTGTAGAAGAAAGGCTTTAGTAACCAGGTGATACAAACACTTCTTTGCGTTGTCACAGTGCATTAAGCTATTCTTTTAGTGTAGTGAACTGAAAGTTTGAAAATTAAATAGATGAATAAAAACATCTCTCAAATGAGATGTATCTATGATCTTATTCTCTCTTGCCTGTTTCTTCCTTTTCCCCGCTCTCCCTCACCCTGCAGTCCTTAGATGACCTTTCAAATGTCCCTTCTGATGAGACAGTTCAACTCCATGCATACATCTCAGATACTGGTAAGTGAATCTGTTATGATGAGTGCTTACTTGTTTTCCACCATTTATTTTGAGTTTTTTAATATTACGGGCCCTTGAAATCCTAATACTTTCATTTTTTTAACCTCATAAAACATTTGAATTCATGTTTCCCATGGAGTTCTTTTAGTGGAAATCCTTACGGAATTGGTGCTATGGATCATAGACTATATATCTGTACTTAAAATGTGATTGAATTTTTCTTGTTTATGGTAGTATTATTTTTCTGATCTCTGGAGAATCATACATTAAACTTAATATTGAGTAGCGTTTATTTTAACAATTTTTTAGAGAACAAATTCTGAAAGCCCTCTCTCTTTTTCTAGTCACAGAATTCTAATTCTTGACTATTTACTTCTCTTACTATAATATTTTCCCCTATTTTTTGGTACTTCCTTATTGACTTAGCTTAATTTAAGGTAGTGACTTCAGTCTTTACAGTGGTGGCACTTTTGGTTATCTTTTTAAAAGATTTGCCTAATAATAAGCTAAAAATTTTTATTACGTGATAGTAAGTAACAAACTTCTCCGAGATTATTTGCAAATATTCTAGTTAGATGGGATTACACTGGATAATTCTGAATTGGTCTTCAGATACTATTTTTTTTTTTGGTAGATTTGTTTATGCGAGAAACTTAAATCTGTGCATTTATGTAGCAGACACATGAGCTGTGAGCAAGAATTGAACTACTTGACATTTTAATTAAGTTCTGTTACTCCAACCCAGTGTGAGAGCATGGCACAATTCAAGTCTTGTGTAGTCAGTTCTCAGAGAAGGGGAAAAATTCCTAACTGTAAAAGTTAGGAATCACAATTTTGGTTTTTTTATTAAAATGATGTGATTTTTTTTTCTGAATTAAACCTAGAAGTTTCATTGTTTAGATCTAAGAAAAAAGGTAAACTTAGAACCACAGAAATTATGTTAAATTTATAGTCTTGATGGCAGTGTGTATTGATAACTGTTGGGTTGACTGTCAGAATGCATAATACTCCAGTTGAACCAGGGGATATATACAGGTTCATATTGTAAGATGGATGTCTGGGTAAACTGGATGTCGTCTTCCTCTTCACCTCATGTTTGAACAAGAAATACAAGTCCCTGCTTTCTGGATGCTACAGGCAGTAGGTGCATCTTGCATCTGTGTGCAGGCTCCTTTCCTCTGCCACTTACTACTGTTTACTGTGCTTGTGAGGTGTATACAAGATCTTCTCCGTAATCGTTGAGGGTTCACCTTGTCTTGTGTTGCAAAATAAATACTGATTAAGAGGCTACGACATAAGGAGCGTTGGGGACAACTTCTTTCTTTTTCTGCCGCTTCCATCCTGAAGTGGTACTCCTAAAGGTGCAACTTTGCAGTGCCCCTGAGATGTGGTCTGGTGGCTGCACGGCAGAGTGGTCAACATGAGTTTAGAGGATAGAGCTTGCTCAGCATCTATGGGGCCAGGGTTTCCCAGCTCCATTCTCTCAGTAGTCTTTTGGCAGCATCCTGGATACCCACTCTTTTCTCTTTGGGTTCAGCACTCAACATTCCTCTGGGGGTAGGTGTCAAAGAAAAGATGCACATACAGAATACATACATATGTGTATACATATAGTTTCTGTTGACTTAGTGTGTGGGGGGTATTTTTATCTTACAGTTAATAACAAACTGCTGGTTAATAACAAAACCAAATGCTTACAGCTTGCTAGCATTGTCTTGTATTTATAGATTTAATTTTTTTTTTTTGATGGACAGACTTTTGCAATATGATTGGAGTACTTTGCAGACTGGAATTTCTTCTGGTTTCACAGTTGTCTTTCACCCCTGTCTTGAGTTCTTTAGGTTAAAATTTTTTTTTAAAATATCTATTCACTATTCTTAAAAGTTGAAACCTTTTCTATTCTTTGTTTATGTTTTGCATGTCAGTGAAACTTGCCTAACTTTAAGGCTGCTTAATCTCTCTATTTAAGTTTACTTAATAAATTTCTGGAGGGTACCGCTTATACAGTGTTTTGGATAAAGGGATGGCTTACTCTTCTGCTTGCATGTCCATTTTTGTCTTTCAAGTCTGTCATTCCAGACATTTCTTCACTTCACGTTTGTGTCCTTTGGTCTTCCTTCTTTCTGTTTGTTCCTTTTTTATTTTTGTTTTTAAACTACTAGTCTATGCTGACTCTGACCCATATGCTGTGGCAGGAGTGTGTAATGACCACGGCAAGACATACGCACTGTATGCTATCACAGTCCATCGGCGAAATCCAAACAGTGAAGAGACATGGAAGACATATCGACGCTACAGTGACTTTCATGACTTTCACATGAGGATCACTGAGCAGGTAATTAATCTCATAAAAATCTTTTAAGGTTTCTTTGAAAGGTGCTTTTTCTGTGTGATGGTATGACACGAGTATTGGCTTTCTCAAAGTGACTTAAGATGTAGAGTTAAAGCACTCTATTATTGCCCATTAAACTATGGTTTTTTACCTTTTGTATCATACGTTATTTGTACTGAGCAGTTAACAGATGCATGTTTATGTAGTTTAGTACCTGATTGCTATATAACTGCCCTAACAAAAGGAAATGGAACTTAGAAAGCTCCCCCAACCCGTTTGCTTAATTTTACTTAAAAATATTGGTATGGAAGCACTATTGGTCTTGAACAGTGGTGTATTTCACTTGTTGTGTTTGTCACAGAGATTAAGAAAAAAAACCCGAGCTTGGGAAATAGGTATTTAGGTTTTAAGTAAAATATTAAGGATCAATGGGGTCTTAAAAGGGACGGCTGTTGGCAGTTCAGTGTACTGCTAGACAGTCTGCCTTTTATTGCTGTACTTGTATTCTCAGACTCAACCCTCCTGAAATGAAAGATCAAAAAATATAAACTTGTAATTCACTAGCTGGTACAAAGTAGAACTTGCTGACATGAAAAAGTGTTGAAAACACAGTGCTTTTAAAAGAGGAGAGTGAAACGCTTTTAAATCAAAACTTTAGAGAAATCAGATTTGACTGCATAGCCTTTGAACTAGTCGGAAGTGTTGGATTATATCATTTTACTCTGTTATTAAGACAGGCATAGAGAACAAATTCTGTGCAGGTAAGTTAGCATTGTAGATTCACAACAGTGGTAAAAATGGAAAAGGCTTTATTAAAAAGCAAACATTGTGTTGAATATTTGTATTAATTCTAAACAAAGTTGGACTTCTGTTTGAATTTCTGATTATCTTAGTATGCTTTCATTAAACTTGAAATACCAGGTTTTGCACTCATCTTCAAATGGAATGATTTTTTTTTTAAAAATTAATTCACTGTTTTGAAGAAGCCCTGATCTGTTGAAGCAAGTATGAGTCCCCCCAGATCTTATACTGAGTTAATATTTTGCTCATATGGGGCAGTCATTTAAAACTGATGTACCAGTAAATAACTAGAAAAAAATGGCAGAAGGAGAAACTTTCAAAATACGAAAGCTCAGAAATTTTTTGTTTCTGAATCTGATTTCTTTGAATTTACAGAAAATGGGAACATTATCCTAGAACACTAAGATTGCAAAAAGTAAAGAAATTCTTGTGCTTCATTGTAGCATCTCGGAAACTCCCAATAATTTTGCTTTGTTTTGTTAATACAGTAGACATTCCTACTGAGTTTATGGGCACAGGAATGTCACTGGTACATTGAACACCCTTCTTGTTTGCTTGTCTGAAACATTCTTTTATTGACATGTTAACAGTAAAGGTTAGAATCCTTTATTTAAAATTAATAGGAAGGACGGAGATTATTGTTTATGTTTTTTGGAGAAAATAGGTACTTGATCCAAGATGGAATTGAAGTTTGCTATGTATAGTATCTGTATGAGCTTTTTCCTTAAAGTACTGAATAGATTCACAGCAGTTTCTTTAGTCAATAATGTAATAAATATAGTTTGAAGCAGATACCTATATTTAAAATAGAAGCTGTTCTTTCCTTACATTGCTTCTGTTTAGACACAAGTATCCAACTGAAAATGAGACTTGCTTCTGTTCAGTTGCTTTCCCACATGACCTATTTGCAAGGGAATGGGATTTGTAAAGTCTGAAAGAGTTATTCTTTGATGCTTCCTACAGACCATAAAAGTTTTATGAGCTTTGTGACCTTCCAAAGTTTAACGATATCTTTGCAAAAAGACACCCCACAGGGACTGAATGGAGTCAATCTCATTAAATCTAGTGTTCTCTAGGGAGAAAAGGATACAACCTTTTTCCAGATTGTTTCTTAAAGTCTAGATGCTATACCTTTCTCTCTTTGCCACCTTAGGATTATTATTTATTATTTACAGGAAATCTGGATTCTATATGTGGATAATCCTGATTCTTCGAGTTTTATTCTTGTCACTTTTTTATTTATGTGCATTGTAGCAAATATGTTCAACCTTCTTAAGTGCTAGGGCCCCTTCTTTCCCTGTTGCTTTCCTGGAACACCCATTCTTTCTGTAAAACTGGAACAGCGGAATGCATGTCAACTACTGCCAATCACTGTCGTTACCTAGAGACAAGACACAGGTGATGGCATATGAAGCATGGTATGATAAGCTATGTGTAAACTGAGTGCTGCCAGCCAGTGCAGGGATAAAAGCTTAATCATTTCCTTAGATTTGATGAGGAGAGGGAAGATGTTTTAGAAAGGCTTGCAAGTTCTCTTGATGTAGTTTCATAACCCTACTAACTTCTGCCCAAATAATAATGGTAAATCTTGAGCCTAAACCTTTTGCACACTATGCTAGTCTGTGTTTCAAAAGTGAGTATCGTGTGTGTGTGTTCAGAAATTACATTTTGCCCTTGACAGTCTCTGGAGAATTTTCATGCATTTATTCTTGATGGCCTGCCTTTCATTTTGGCTTCTCCAAGGAATCAGAGTTCTGGGCTTGATGCAGAAGTTATTTGTCAGCTGTTAAATGGTAGATAGGAATAGGTAAATATAATGACCCCTGTAATTTCTGACTTGTATGGTGATTTGAAACTTTTGAAAACAGAACATAAAATCTTCTCTTTTTTTTCTAGTTTGAAAACCTTGCAAATATACTGAAACTTCCTGGCAAAAAGACGTTTAACAATATGGACAGAGAATTTTTGGAAAAGAGGAAAAAAGATTTAAATGCATATTTGCAGGTAAGCTGTTATGTTTTTTTCGTTGGAATTCTTTTCTCAGAGGTAGAAAATTTGGTAGCATGCTTTTTTTTTAAAAAAAAAAAAGTTGTAGGTGGTATAAAATGGTAAATAGTACACCACAAGAACTTCATATTACCTGATAAATTTGCCTTTTCCTTGCTGTGTTGGTTTATTCTCAGCCAGTTCTGCAACAACTCCTCTGAGCTGTTGAGGTTCCAGCTGTGTTGGTTTTGAGCTCTATGCCTTTAACCTGCTTCTGTTACTCTCATGTTTGTGGTTACTTTCTCTTGTGCTGTTGCATGATTGGTGTGGCACCCACTCTGGCAGTGTAGCAAACCACACAGCTTCTCCATTCAGATAAGGCCTGTATCAGCCCAACTAAAGGAATTCAGCTGTCTTATTTCATAGGGACTTTCTGGTCATTTAGCATTAAAATATGTTGGCCAACTCAATGGTCATGTTAACAGTAAATTATGAAGATGAATAAAACGTTGTGAAATCTGATTGTTCTGTTTATAGAGTGCTAATATTTTTTCCTTTGTGTGAGATAGTGCCCTGTTTTTAATAGCAATAATTTTTCAGTCACAGCTAGGTTTTTTCCTTCTTGGAGTTTCAGAAGCAGTTCAAGTGGTCATAGAGCTGTGTATTTTTCTGTGAGATGCTGTAATTAACATACTAGTTAAAATTACGGGGATTACCAAGAAGCACATTGTTTCCATCTTGAGAATAGTGTAATACTGGAATAAAATTTAGAGAATGAATGAGAAAATACATTGCAAGATGTAGTGTCTTTGAGCATGGTAAACTTTTGCTAAACTGAATGGTATGGCCTTTTTTATTATTTATTAAAAAGCAGCTTTTAAAAATTTTTTTACTCAGCTCTTGTTAAATCCTGAAATGATGAAAGCTTCTCCAGCTTTAGCCCATTATGTGTATGACTTCCTGGAGAATAAAGCCTACAGCAAAGGGAAGGGAGATTTTGCACGGAAGGTAAGAATGTTTTGCACTGTCAAGGGAACTTTAGAACATTCATTAGTACAACGATTGCATTAAACAGAGATGTTGAACTGATATTAAACAGCTATATAACACTTGCAAGTTATTTTGGAAATGAATTGCTTTAATACTTTGTGAGTGGCAAAGTATCTGAGGATACATGGAACTAAGAATTCAGTGGTTTTGTAACAGGTAAATTTATTTGTATAACAAGGAAATAAAATTTTCAGATCAGACACAGTGTATTGCACCAAGACTACTTTAAAAGTATGTTAATTGCAAGTTCCTTTCTCTTAGACATCTGTGACTTTTTTTTTTGTAGTGTCATTCTTTCCAATTTCTTTTTTCAGTTCTTTACTCTGTATTTGCTGCTGTTACCATGCTCTCCACTCTTCAACCCAAAAGATGAAATGCATTTCCCTTCAAAAGCAGCTATTATGTATTTAGCTATTATAACCATTCAGAGTCATTGGTCAAATTCAGAGCTCTGTGCTGTGCATCCTTTTTGTTAAGCCACCAGAACTCTCTTCAGACAAGTGATTCTGTGTTCAGTTGACCAGTTTGTGTGGGCATTTGCTTTGCAAATACAACTATTTCTAAACTTGTAGTGATTTTGATATAAAAAGCATTTGCAACTGTATTGTCACTTCAAGTTGTTCGGTATTTAACAGCGAAATAGTTTAATGTTTATCAGGTTTATGTAATGACTGAGTAAGATTTGATTTCTAGCTTACCAGATTCTTCACAAACTTAACTTTCTAAGAGCATCACACTAGTATTTTGCCTCAGAACTGAATTTAGATTATATACTGAAAGAAAAATTGTAACAGTTTCTATGGAACTACTTTATGTTTTTAATTATACTTGCTATGATATTAAAGCATATTACTGCAGTGCTGTTTAAAAAAGGCATGTTTCATCTGGAATTAGGAAGCTTGGAAGGGAGAAATGACATTGAATGGAGAAGAAAAGGAAAAGAAAAAAGCTAAGAACAGCTGAGGAATGGGAAATGGAAATGACTCAGGAAAAAGACCTGTTGAAAGATGTAAATAGCTACAGTAGCTGTAAGGAACAAGAAATAGAAATGAAAGTGAAGCTAAAACTTTATTTTGTAATGAAGTTAAGCAATTTGAGTTGTTCTTTATGTTATTGTTCTCTGGAACAGTGTGATACTTCTCATAGTGTATTAATATACTGGTGTCCTCGTAGATGATACAATTCTGGTTAAACATCTTCCCCTTCAGATGGACACATTTGTAAACCCACTTCGTAACTCTATGAGAAATGTATCAAATGCAGTCAAGTCTCTCCCTGACAGCCTGGCAGAGGGAATGACTAAAATGTCAGACAACATGGGTAAAATGTCAGAGAGATTGGGACAAGACATAAAGCAATCATTTTTCAAGGTAAGAAAATATTTGGTAGTTACTACATACTAGTAAATGAGTAGGAGATTAGCTATCGACTCACTTAAACTTACGTTGTATCCTATAATGAAGAGTCAAGTCATTAGACAGGAAAGCAATCTGTTTCATACCTATACCCCTTTAATAAGGTTCAGCCGTCATTATACTACAAACATGGAGTTCTCTTTGCTATTAAGTAACGCATTTTAAGATGATACCTACAGACTGTACAGCGATCCTTCTTCACTTAATTCAGTGGAACCACTTGAGAAGAACGAGTCAGAGTCTTATTTTTTTACCAACCATTCTCATAAAGCTAGCTTGCTGCATCTGCTGCTTTCATTAGAAAAAACCCCCACATATATATTTTGAAACTTAGAATAAGGAGATAGCCTCTTTTCTGCTTGTTCCTTGCTGAATTCTGTTTTTAATTAAATTTTCTTTCTGTCTTTCCTGCCATCTTTCCTCATCTCTCATATTCCCAAAATGTAATACCTTAGAGGTGGGGAATGGTAGCATGGCATGCTATCTAAAAGTCCTACGAAAGTAGTAATCTTCCTAACATGTCCTTTCCCTTGCCGCCCTCTTTCTGTGTGTAGCTGTAAGGTCTGTGATCAGTGATTGTTCCATTTTGTGTTACCAAAGCAGTTATATGTGGCAGATGTACAACTGCAACTGACATGACTTAACCCTTAAATCATGAAAGGGAATAATAAATTGGGGGTGAAGTGGGTGTGTTTGTGGGGTTTTGTTTGGGTTTTTTTTTATTACTTGTGAGATAAAATGACTGGCTCTGGACTTTCTCGTTGCTGGTAACTTCCCTGGTGTGTGACTAACAATGTATCCGCAGTTAGGGTCACTGGGAAGTCTGTGACTAGGCAGGACTTAATCAAGAGGAAATACCAGAAGATATATCAGTCCCATATGAATTTCTAGGTGTTATTTGGTTGAAGCGTTAGGCGCTTGAGAAAATATATGTGGATTAAAGGTGTTGATAACTTTGATAGCTATCAAGGAGGATACCTACAGGCTTGATTTGTTGGAAGATGAAAGGACTACCATATATTTATCTGTGGCAGTATGCAACTGACTTTTGACCAGATTTTGGGTTTTTATTTTCCTAACCAAATTGATTATGAAAATTGATCTGATTTATTGGTATTCTGAAGTATTTTTTCCTTCATAAACTTTATCTCTTTTCATTGTAGGTGCCCCCTTTGATCCAGAAAACCTATTCAGATCCTGACCATTGCCGTGTTGCAGCACCAATTGATGACAATGTAAGTCTGACATTTGTCCTTTCAAAGTTGCTTCCTCTAAAGCCAAATTAATGAGTTATTTATTCTGTGTTAAACTGTGTATTTATTGTTTTCTCATATTATACTAGGCAGTTACAAACAGTTATTAACATTTTTTAAAAAGAAACTTCTATGCTTCCTTCGAAAATTAACATCTTTGTTAGTACTAAAATTGTTTAAACAACAGTGGATAACTTAGAGTGTATATGCTGCTACTTCTGTGTTCTGTTCAAAGATAGTATGGTACCAGACTGTTAGCATCATTTCAGTCAGCATTTTATAGATTCTGATTTCTGATGCAACCTTTTAAGGAGCATTTGTTTAATGGATCAGAAGTAGTGTTTGCTATGTTGCTGTGGAAAACCACCTTCAGAATGTGTTCCTAAAGAATAAACTTCTAGTATGTGGATAACCTAAAATGTATACAGTAGTAATATTAGAAACTGGAAAGTGAGGTTTAAGCTCTTTATGTTATCATAAACTATGGTATTTTGATATTGTTTTGATTGAAACATTGATCGTGTATGTGAATACAACTGGAAGAAAACTTTTATCTCTCAGTAGGATAGAAAGGCCATAAGATTATCAGTGATTATATGCAATTTGCTATGGTTATAAACCTGCACCTGTTCTGCCCTTCACGTTTCGGGTTTTTTGGTCACATCAAAGCATTCCAGTTTGTCTTCCTGTGCATAACTGCAATGATGGCTGGGTAGATGTATTTTTGCTCAGATAACATAGCTTTGAGTTCTGGGTTTTGTTTTCCCCCATGATTTTTCACTATATAAGACTGTATCCCTAAGTTTGTAATTACAAATGTAACTACAAATATCTTTGATAATCCTGAGGCTTCTGTGTTGCACAGGCAAACCAAAATAATACCATTCAAGTATATGAGCAGCTTCTCTGCAAATATTTCATTAATCTTCTGTAGAATGAATGGAAGCTACAGTTCTTGATAGCTTCTAAGTTAATGTACCAAGTGTTTCTGAAAGGCAGATTTCAAATGTTTTAAAACCTTTCAACTCTCAACTGCTCTTTTAAAGTGCATTGTTCATGACTTACAGTCACTAAATCAAACAAAAAGTACAGCGGTTTGAATGAAATTTTATGTGGAGAAGCAGTACTGTAAAAGTGGGGCATGGATCTGTAGAATCTCCAGCTTGATTATGAATCCCCTGTCTGTGTTCCAGTTTATATATAAAGATATACTTGTGTAGTCCACCAAAAAAATGTCCATGTAACTGTGAGATCTTGCTACTTCTTCCAGTGTAGGATTAACAATACAGTGCAAACTACTACTCTTCAAGGTAGAGCTGTATCAGATTTCGAATACAAAACAAAATTCTGAATGTTATGCTTAGACTGTAAAAAATACTAATTAAAAAAACCCCAAACAAAACCAAAAACAAAACAAACAACCAAAAAACACAAGAACAGGAAAAGTTTATTCAATCCTTAAATAAATCTTGCTGAGGATACAGTAAGATTTTAATTTTATCTTCATCTTCTGTAAAGTTTAAATAATGAATCAGTCAAATCTAATTCATTTGTTGTATTTGAGATAAATATTTGTGGTCTCTTGTGCAATACAATTGTAACTCAGAGTGCTATCTTTTTCTGCAATAGCTTAACAATATGTAGGCTTGTATTTTGAGAAGCTGCTGTTTCTGTAAGAGAAACATTAATAACAACTAAGATGAAAATCTAATACTTTCACACTACAGAATTTAGTAAACTCTCCCTCAGATTTTAATATTTGAAAAAATGTTGATAGTTACTGCAAGTACATGCCATCCATCTTTAAAAACTTTTACATAGTTACTGAATCCTCTGTTTTAGAATTTCTATGAAAGTTGTTTTTTGTAAGCCAATCTGTGTAACATCTTCTATTAAATAATTAAATGATGATGCTTTTCTTAATATACAAGCATAAAAGCACTTAATAGCCCTGCAAGTTAGAATGGCATCTAAATAAAAGGCAGTCCATTGCAGTGAAGTGTCATTGTTCTTAGGAGGTTCTGAATTTGGCACAGTGCATCCATAAGAAAAAGATGCCAAAGAAAAGCTCCTTCCCAATATTTTCATGTTAGGCAATGGGAAGCACAGCTACCAAAGGAAGAGGTCAGGGACAGTCTCTCTCTTTAGGACATATTTACTTGTATTAATTTTATTCAACTTTGGTGAAATAACTGTTTCTTCTTGTCTTATTTTAAAAATTCAATGGGTTTAAGCCTAGTTTATATTCTAATTTTCAATCTTACTTTGATATTAGTGATGTTACGAAAGATTTAGGAAAGATTTCATATTACAGTAAAATACAGAGTGAAGTGTTTCTGTCATTGTTCTGCTGTCAAAGCATTTGACCTGTGAAGTAGCTACTAAACCTGTAGCTTTATTGAACTGAAATAAAAGTTTACTGATTATACTTTTACTCGGTGGTCAGGTGGATGACAATATTCCGCTGAGAGTAATGCTCCTCCTTATGGATGAAGTCTTTGATTTAAAGGAAAGAAATCAGTGGTTAAGAAGAAATATAAAAAATCTGCTTCAGCAACTTATTAGAGCAACATATGGTGACACAATTAATAGGTACTGCTTTTCTTATATAGAGCAATCATGTGAGTGCTTGGTATTACGAAATTGTTGTGGTTTAGATCTGCATGCATTCCCCTTCAAAGAGTATCAGTAAAACCAGGTACAAATGTGGTGTAAACTGGAGATAAGCACAAATGATTGCTGGAAGACAAATTCCAGTAACTTTTACATGCCAGAGAACTTCCAAAAGAGCTTTCACATATCAGCAAGAGTTCACATTTCTGTAAATGTAACTTAATACTGATGATATCTATACTTTTTGTCTGGTGTTTTAAACTGTATCTTTTGTTATTAATAGTATTGATTACTTTCTGCACAATTTCAGTTTACATCTCTTTTGATGCCACAAATGATACACTGGCACACTGTCAAATTATGTGAACTGTACTGAGTTGCTGTGTTGTTTTTACGCTCACACTTTATAAGATGGAGAGGGGGGCAAAGGAAGGGACAGGACTGTTCTGGGATCCATTCTGCCCTGCCATGTTTGCTGTAATTCTCCCTTTTTCATGCACATGCAAAACAAATCTGTACTGCTAAATAAGTTATGTTTCTTGCCTTCAGCTTAGAAATCTACTGTTTCCAGGCTTTGCCTTCTAATAATTTGTTTCTGAAATGTAAATAAAAATACAGAACAAAAAAATTTCTGGAAACAGTATTGGCACTAAATTGTCACTTTGGATTCGTGCCGTGAATCAAAACCATAATTTCTGTTAGGTGAGAAGTAGTTTCCTATTATTTTTTCAGGACAGTCCTCACTGTATCGTTACTGTTTACCCTTCACAAGTATATTTGTGAAGTTTTCATCATCGCTTTTAAACACATAGACAGTTCTTGTGCCAGTAGTGATGCAACCACGTAATAATAATAGCACTGGGTCTTTTTCAAATAATTCCTCATGGCCTGGTGACAATTATCTTGAGACCTGTGCTTCCAAAAATACGCTGCCCTGTTGAACAACTGAATACTTTTTGCTGTTTTCAGATTGTAGTATAATTAACTGAGTTTGTGCACAGGCTGCTGCTTGCTTATTGCAGAGATGTGTGCAGAACTATTTTTGCTTGTGCATTCG